AGAGAGAGAGAGAGAGAGAGAGAGAGAGAGAGAGAGAGAGAGAGAGAGAGACAGAGACAGAGAGACAGAGAGACAGAGAGAGAGAAAGAAGAAAGGAAGAAAGAAAGGAAGGAAGGAAGGAAGGAAGGAAGGAAGAAAGAGAGAAAGAAAGGAAGAAAGGAAGAACCGTCACTGCAGCTGGAGCAGGAACCCCTTGCTCTCAGGACTGTCACAGGCACAGTTTGCAAAAAGTGCAGCCATTGATTCACAGTGTGTAGCATCAATTAGATGTACATTCCTGACATCTTTTGTCTATTGTAGCTTTTTCTTTGTTTTTTTCTTTTCACTGTGTTGAGCATATCACCCTGTAAATTGTGGTAGTGATACCAGGAACTAAAAAAGAAAAGAAAAGAAAGGAATTTTTAACTATTCTAAAAATTAACTTACAGATCAAAATTATCTTAGAAAACATTCTTACCTCATTTATAAGAGTACTCATCGGAATCTCTCTGTAATAAACAGTCAATCAAATATGGTGAGAGCCAGTGCTAGGAAAAGAGAGAAGTGGGCAGGAGACAAGGGGAAGAGTGTGAAGGTGACTTTTCGCTGTCATCTATCTAGATTCCAAATATGGAAGAAAGCATGACATTCCAGTCATTTCCTGTAAATGTTCTTATTTCATCTTTCTTTATGGCAGAATAAAATCCCACTGTATATATGAACTGCACTTGCTTAATACATTCATCTGTTGATGGACATCTCAGTCATTATAAATAGCACAGCAGTAAATACAGCTAAGCCAACAGTGTGTGGAAAGTAGCGGCTGGTGGAGTCAAGTCACATTGTGGTCCTGGCTTTAGCTCTGTCTTCTGTACCAGCTGACAGCCTCAGCACCAAAGGGCTCTGCTTTCTTCTTATGTGCTCTCATTTTTCTGATGACAGCCATTCTGCCTGGGGTGAGAAAAACCCTCAAGAAGTTTAATTTGCATTTTCCTCATGGTTAAGGATGCTGAATGCTTTTCAAAAATCCATTGGCCACTCATATTTATCTTGAGAACTGTGTAATTTATGAGTCCATTTATGGATTGCACAATTTATTTTGGTGTTGAATTTTTGTGTTTCTTCTTATATGGTCTAGATATTAATTCTGTCCGGTATGTTGTTGACAAATGCTTTTTTTTCCCATTCTGTAAACTGTCTTTTTTTTCCTTTGTTGTGTGTATGTGTGCATAGGTATATGTGAGTTATGAAAAGAAAAAAGAAAAGATCCTAAGAGAGGGAGAGGGGAAAGAAGGTAGTGGATGGATACATGTGACATGAGAACAGGAAGAGCCTATGGTGGGCTGCAGCCTGATGGAACCAGAAAGGAGGTGGAAGCCAGTGAGGGAGAGGGATGAGCAATAGAATGTTACATGTGCATGGGGTTTCCAT